TGGTGCCGCTCCAGGGGTCTGGCCCGTAAGGTTGGCAAAACCCACCTCCAGCCCCCTCCGCTGCCCCATCCCACAAAGCCCCAGCACAGCCTGTAGGCAAAGGATGATCCCTCAGGCTCTGTCGTCTCTTGATCACGTACTGATACTTTGGCTGCCTGAATTTATCCTCCTAAACCTCTTGAATCGCAGACTCCAAAGAAATCGGGGTGTGTTACTGGAGCTGGGGCTGCTGTGGGCCTCCACATCAGAGGGAGAGGATCCTGCCTGCAGGAACGTCGTGTGTTGAGATCTCAGCCGATGCTGACAGGATGTTTCCGTGACTTCCCCCTGCCATTTGGAGGGGTTTTTAAATGAATCCAGGGGCACGCTCATTGCACTCACCTCTCACAGAGGAACGGCCGCTGTGGGGCTGTGTTCTAGAGTGGAGATTAGAATACCAGCCACACCACGCCCACAGATTGTTACTGAGGGCAATGTTTAGTTTACTAATTAGCTGGTTTATTAAGGATTAACACAAACAGAGTGGAAAATGTAAAAATGGCAAATGGCTACAAGAAAGACTGTGTCGGGCTTCCTCCCTCTCTCTCCTTTGATCCGCAGCCCTCTCTCGGGGAGAACATCTTAAGGGCACTTCCACATTTCTTCCCTGAAGGACACAGTACTTTTGCATTACCTCCCTGTTTTGCGGGCATCTACATCACCTCCATGGCCTTTCCTCTCTAAAAGTGCAGCAAGAAGTTGTATGAATATATTATTTTATTTTATTTTTTTTTACAGAAATTGTGAATAGAGTTGTTTTCTTGTAAGAGAACCCTCCACTAGTTTGAATTACAACGATGGGGTAGCCCTTCCACAGATGGGGTCTTCATGGAGTGAAGACCTGATCAGAGGCCCATTTGATGCTGCACTTCTCATGGTTCACAGTGAGATAACAGTTCTCTGTTTCTTTATAGTGTTAACCCTAATAAACTGAGTTTGAAATTATAATTTGCAGCATCTGAATGCCCTTCTTAGTGAGACTATAATGGACCAACATGTCCTGGTGCAAAACAGATGGAATCCTGGCTTGTCTTTTCTTTGACAACCTATCTCAGGAAGAGTGTTCAGCTTGTCTAATTTGCACTCCAAGCTGAAGGTTGAGGCTCAGCACCAGGGGACAGAAGTGGTAGAGAGCAACATAAGTAAACATTAAATCAGCTGTAGAAAAAGTGAAGTTGTAGGTAATGAAAAGCAGCCAGCCAAGTTACAGTGGGAGTTTCTAGTATAAATTAAATAAAAATAGATTAGACTGGCAGCTCTTTTAGCTGCTTTGTGGCTTTTGGATGTTTGGCCAGCAACACTTATTTACTGGTACTTCTGGGTCAATCAGATGGGGAAATCTGTCCAAGCAGGACTCTTGGGCCTCTTCCCACAGGATACTCAAGCAGTGGCTTCCCTCTTCCCTTCAATGTTTGGCCTAATGACATGTAAGGCTATGGTTTTTCACAGGTCTTGAGATCAGGATTAACAAGGATCAGCTCTCCAATAATTTTCAAAATAAGGCTTTTCTTTCTTCAGGAATGTGAATGTCCTTCTCCTGTACTCCAGCCCTGTTGAGATTTGTGTTGCTTGCAACCTCTCTGCTGTGGGACTTGCCAGCAGCCAGATGCTTTGCAAGAAATCTGTTAGCCATTGGAAATGGCAGAGTGAAAGAAAGCTTAGCAAGATTATACAGTTCAGTTGTTTCTGTTGGACCAAACACTTACCACTGGAGGAGAGGGAGAATGACAAGTCCTGTTCTTCTTGCTAGAGTACTGTAGTACTGCAGCTCTTGTTAGTGAGGTCCCTGCCCTGTGGACCTTGTTATGCCTCTCCTGCTGGCTAACCTTCTGCACCTGACACATTATACTGATTTACACCTGCTTCTAATTGCCAAAAAGTAGGTGTGCTCCAAAGGGCTTCGTTCTCCCTGAAATACAACTTCACAAGAACTAGAAACGGCAACAGTAAAGTTCATTTGACTTGTGTTAGCTAACCCATGTGTCAAGCTGCCTAAAAGCTCTTGGTGTACATGTGTCTATTATGATTTTTTTGAAGTGGCTGACTTCTTAATGAGAGAAAAATAAATTGTAGCCTCTGGATTATTCTGCTTTGTAATGGGGAGAGAGACTAAAATTAACTGCAAAGCCAGAATCTGTTTACTGTTTTTTTGTATTCCATAAATTTAGGACTTGAGTTCAATGTTCCTTTGAAAGTATTCTATAGGTCTCCCCTGCAAGTTGGGGCTGAGATAACATGGATGATTTTATATGCTGCATATCTAAGTAAATAAGAACAGTTGTTCAGTTGTTTTCAATGTATGTTTAGCCTTGAGCTGCACTTTTTTTTTTTTTAAGAAGGGCTTGCTTGCCTAGAAGCTCATTTATACTTTCTTCAACAATAGCAAGTAGCTTAAGAAAAGTTCTTACTCCTTGCTATACATCTGGCCTTGCCTTGAAGCCTCAAGAGCTTGTAGTCAGAATTCCGCATAGTATTCTTATAGTACTATCTTAGAAGTCACAAAATGTCACATCTGTAGGTTTTGGTGTGATGTCATCCGTTGTGCCTTAACCCCAGCCAGCAGCTAAGCCTCTCATGACCACTTGCACACTTCCCTTTGATCAGATGGGGGAGAGAATTGGAAGAATGTCATGAGCTGATGCCAGGGGCTATTGGCTCTCAGGTGCTTCTGCGACTCCCCCCTGCTCCATCACATGTAACAGTTACTTGGGAAGACAAACACCATCCCTCCAAATGTCTCCCCTTCTTCTTTCTCCAGCTTTTATTGCCAAGCATGAGATGATATTATATGGAATATCCCTTTGGTCAATTTGGGTCAGCTGTACTGGCCATGCTCCCTTGCAGCGTCCTGTGCATCTGCAGACTAGCCAAGTATGGGAAGTTGAACAGTCCTTGATTTCTCAGCAAAACTAAAAACATCAGTGTATCTATCAATATTCTTCTCATACCAAATCCCATACTAAATCTAAAACACAATGCTATTCTAGCTACTAAGAAAATGAGCTCTATCCCATTTAAAATTAGGATAACATCTCAGCTGTATTCGAGTCTGCCTTCAAAAATAGGTCTTTCAGTCTGTTGTGATGAAAGAAATACATATATCAAGATTACACTCTGGAATTAAATTTACAGTAAAGAATGGGACCACATATGACAAAACAAAGTAATATCCTTTATTGGGCACTGTGACTTGAATATCCAAAATATTTGAAATATTGTTTTCCTAAGTATTTAATCAAAGTAATCTGGAAAAATAACTCAGAAATTTGGAATGATGTGGTTATTTTGTGTAAAATGCACTCTGTATATATATACAAGTTCAAACTGCAGTCAGAGGCACACAGTTAGTACTACAGCCAGCACTGAGCAAGGACATCTTGCAATAACTTGGTCTTGAAGAAGGCAGTTCATCAAGAGGTCTAGAGGGTGTCTCATGTAAATCACCAACTTGGGAGAGAAGACTTGAGGTTTGTGTGAATAATTGGACCTAAGGAATACAGAAGGTGTTAAGGAAGCACCTTGATCAAGAAAATTGACAGCTAAAACAGTCTTGTGCAGTTGGAGCTGTAGGAGTTGCATGTGATCTTGTGTCGTCCAGGTGAACTTACCCCATTATAATGTCATTATAATACTAAAATCATAGCCCTAGGTCAAAAAGACCCCTGTCCAGGTGAAGGCTCTTCCCTATACCATGCGTGATAGTAGAAATAGTGACGTAACTGTATTATAATTAGATGTAAATCCCTAGCCAATCACTGTAAGGAGGATGGTTGTGGAAGCTTACTAACTTTGTAGTTTTGTGTATAAATATGTAATGGAAAATTTCATTTGATATTCTTGATTTGTGGGAAGGCACCAAGCACCCAGCATTGTACAAACCTGCAATAAATACTAATGTGTCATTCCTAAACGCACTCTTTGTCTGCGTTTTGGTTTGCGT